GCATCCAAAAGAGAAATTTATTCGTTAGTAAAATTTAAGTAAACAAAAAAAAAGCCATTATATCATTCAGATGCTTAAATTTTTTTGTTAAATTTGTCCATATCTTGATTTTTCTTCATTATTTAAACTTCTACACTTTTCGCATTTATTTTTAGAATTTTTTTACAATCAAAGATTTTGAGAGAGAGGGAAAAAGACAGAAAAGGTTAAAGATTTAATTAACAAAGTCCAAAAGAAACCTTGATTATTCCAATTGACCATCTACTGCATAGGCCTTCTCAACTCAATTATTGCTTCTTTTAGATCAAATCAAATCGAATAATTTCTGCGTCCAGTGAATTTTTTCTCCATCAATAAATATTCTGTACTATTGAATTAAATTAAATAAAATATTCTTTTTACATTTTAATAGTAAGTTATTCCAGTAGTAATAAATTAAAATTTTTTTTAGATATTTTAATAGTGATAAATTAAACAAAATATTCATTTTACATTTTAATAGTATGATAATCTAATAGTAATGAATTAAAATTTTTTAAAACACCCTAACAATTGTAAATTAAATAAAAATTCAAAAATATTTCAAAAGTTCGGAAAATTAATCATATCATGTATAATATGTGTAATAATAATCATAAACATTAATTATAGCATAAAAAAATTCAATGTATGAAGGATAAGCAAATGAAAAAAAAGTGATTAAAATAAAAATCATGCAAAACAAATCTAAAAATGCATGCAGTAAGAAAAGAAATGAAAAAAAAGTTAAAGTTAAAAGACAAACAATGAGTAAAAACTGTTCAAAAATAAAATATAATATAATTTGAAGTCTGCAAATGCATTAAATTCAAAATATTCAAAATTATAAAAAGATAAGAAAAAGATTTTGAAATTTTCGAAACATAATCTTTCACCAATTCAAACGACAAATTGAAATTTGAATACTGATTATTTTGTAAACATTTTTAACTATTTACTAAATGATTTACGGTAGATGAAGACTACAAAAAGTCACCGCATTTCATCTCTCAAAACAATAACTGTTGCATGCCATGAAATGCAGTTGTATTGCATTGCATGCTGCATGATTTCTTCTTACATTTATTTCTCTATTTGTTTTTCCAATGAATTAATTGTTGTTTTACTTCAATGGAAAGAATTGTTAAATAAGGAAGTTTCTTTTAAAAAAGATATGAAAACATCATTTTTTAATCTTTTAATTGCATATTTTTCATATAGTGTTTCCATAAAAGAGAAACGATGGTAGTTATTGCTTTGTCATTTAATGTCACATTACTTGTAATAATTTCCAGTTCAACTTTAGTAAAAATTATGCAAAACATTAGGTAAAAAAGCATGCAAAAAGTACATTTACTGCAAAATAAAATGTAATCAAAAAAAAAAAAAGACCGAAATTAAATTGCACATACATAAATAAAATAATCAATGATGCATACAAAGTTGATAATAAAGTAGGCCATGGATTAGAAGAAATTATAAAGAATGAGAAAATGAGATAAATTTAATTTATAGCATCGAAAATTAAAATATGCAAAATTGGCATATTACTACGTGGTAGACAAAGCGTTCAAAGAAAGACACAGAAAACAGAGAAAATTAAAAATTAATTTTTCCATTAATAATTAAAATTTTACAAATCAAATATGTTAGCGTTGTCCTTTGACATTAACAAGAAACAAAGATAAGAAAAAGAAAAGATGCTATTTCCATTGTTTCCTATTAGTATCAATTTGCAAAATTTAAGAGCAAACGACAAGAAAGCAAAAAAAGACAAACAAATTAATGTTTAAAGCGAATGAAAACAATACAATAAAAATAATTTAATTGTATGGAAACAATTAAATAATGCAAAAGCTAAAAATCAAGCAAACAACTTGGAAACCAAAATAGTAAAAGTTAAAAGTCAGGAAATTTAAACCTTTAAAAAAATCGGATTGCTATCTTAAATATTAACACACAATGAAAACAAAAATAAAATTCGACTTCATTGCAGTCATACTAATATCAAATAAGAAACTCTAATCTCAGACACTGTCATTCTTTCATTACTTTTATCAAGAAAACTTCTGAAATAAAAGCACAAAAACTTATAAATATGAAAATAATAAATGCAATTCTTACAATTATATAATTTTAAAAGAATTAGAAACTATTTTAAAAATGATGAATATGATAAAACATTGATAAATTTAAAAAAATTAAAAAACACAATTCCAGATGCAATAAAGAAGGGAACTAAAAGAAATAAGATGAAACCGAAGAATACGTACAGAAAAACACAATCAAATTACCTTTTCCTAAAACTAAGCAAATTTTCTAAAAATTGTTAAGCAGACGTAACTAATATGGAATCTTTAAAAACTTATTAAATGTAAAACAACTTACTAAAAATATAAAACAGTATGAATGCAGCTAATACATCAACAATAAACAAATAAACAATAGTTAATTGGACGGCAATCAACAACCAATAAACAAATAGTCACCTAAGCAATAAACACATATTAATATACTGGAAAATTGAATAGCAAAAATGAAACATGAATAAGTATTTTTCCTAGAAATAAAAATGTTAATAAACAGTAAAAGATGCAACAAATAACAGCAAAGAAACACTGATAAAAAAGATGGAACAGTTTCCTGAATAAGGGATATTATCAGTGGTTATCATTAATACTATCAGCATTATCACTTGACATTATTATTTACAACAAACATACCAAAGTAAAAAATTTTGAGACAAAGAAATCTAGTTAAAATAAAAGTGAATATATTAAGTTATTAAACAACAAAATCAATCGTAACAATTGAACCCGTGCTAATAATCATATTTTAAGCTTAATTAAGTGAGAAGAGAAAATTTTAAAAAAGAGCTGAGATGAGCAAAAATAAACAAAATAAAAATAAATTCATTCTGGTTTAAAAGAAAACCTTTCATATTATATTTCTAATTACAAAGGATATATTAGTTAAACTGAAAGAATTAAGAAAGTAATGAATATTAAATTGCAAAGAAAATAAAAAAAAAAAAAAAAAAAAACAATTAAAAATTTGCACTTCACATCTACAAAAAATAGAAAAATGTTGACATTTAAAATTTTGTAAAATACAATCTCATGAGCAATTTGAATATCACTAAAATATTTACAATTTAACAGTCATTAAAATTATTAAATTTGTTGAAAATCTAAATATGTTATACTTAAAAGAAAAGACCAGTCTCCCATATCTGCTATGAACACAATTTGAAATATATTTACAAATCAGAGTTGAAATATTAATTCCTTCAGTATCAAAAAACAACCCCTAAAGTTCAAAAAAAAAAACTTAGAGACATCAAAATTTTAAATTCTTAACTCGGACAAAAACAATAAAACTAAAACTATCAATCTGCAGGAAATAAGAAGAAAACTAAATTCAATCAGACCACCTAGTAGTTAAAAGCAAAAAATTTCATCCAAATAATTTGGTGACCAAAAAACTACTGTCAACCCATATGAAAGAAAAAAAATCTATGTGCATAATTATAACAGTGATTCTCGACCCCCACACAAAAACACTAGAAAGAATAATAATAATTACAAAAAAGGATAATAATGAAAAGGCACTCTAAAAAAAGTGAATGAAAAAAAAAAAAAAAAAAAACTAATTCAGAAAGAATTATTAACGGCATAAGTGAAACATGACAATATGATAGTGATAAAAAATATTTTTTAAAAAACGATAAGTAACATAAACAAAAAAAAATTCAAGAATTAATAAATCAACAAGCCAAGCATTAATAATGCCATTAAATCCTTTTATTTTTAATTTTTAATTTTATTTATTCTTATTTTTTTTTGTTTTTTTTTAATTTTTCTTTTTTGTTTTTTCGTTTTTTTTTTTGATTTTTTTCTTTTTTTGGTTTTTTTTTGTTTTTTTTACTTTCTTTTTTCATTTTTTGTTTTATTTTTGTTTATATTTTATATTTTTTATTTTTTCTACTTTTTACTTTTTTTACTTTCGACATATTAATAAACAAATCAAACATGAAAAAAGTAGAATTACATAATTAAAAGTAAATCACAATGAAATAAAGATTTACATAAATTACATAATTTTTTTTTTTGATTTTTTTTTTTTTTTTTGGTTTTTTTTTTGTTTTTTTTTACTTCTTTTTCATTTTTTGTTTTTTTGTTAGGAATAACATTAATTATAAAAAGAATAATAATAAAAAACACTCAAAAAAATTAATAAAAAAAAAAAACAAATGAATACTAATACTAATAAAATCCAGAAAGAATTATTAACGGCATAAGTGAAACATGACAATATGATAGTGATAAAAATATTTTATAAAAACGATAAGTAACATAAACAAAAAAAAAAAATGCAAGAATTAATAAACAACAAGCCAAGCATTAATAATGCCATTAAATCCTTTTTATTTTTATTTTTTAATTTTATTTATTCTTATTTTTTTTAATTTTTTTTTCGTTTTTTTTTTTTGATTTTTTTACTTTTTTGGTTTTTTTATTTTTTGTTTTTATTTATTTTCTTTTTCATTTTTTTGTTTTTTTTTCTTTATATTTTCTATTTTTTTATTTTTTTACTTTTACTTTTTTACTTTCGACATATTAATAAACAAATCAAACATGAAAAAGTAGAATTACATAATTAAAAATAAAAATCACAATGAAATAAAGAAATTAAAGAGCCAAATTCGAATTTAATGCATCAAGGATCAAAAGCTATGTGCAAAAGAAGCGCAATTTTTTCGAAATTACAAATGGCTGAAAACTGAATTCGAAAAAATCTCACTAAATAGAGGGACGACAATCAAATTTTTCATTGTGATTTTTCAATAGTTAATGAAAATCAAAAATTAGTAACAATTTAAAATCTAATAAATTGGTAACCAAATAAGAACAAAAACTTAACATAATAACAAAAAACTAAAAAAAAAAAAACGAAAATAGATCAGTCTACCAGTAAGTAAATTAGGTTACCTGCGCAAGGAGAAGAAAAACATGAAATGAGCTGCTTGGACAGAGATGGTTCTTGAATTGGTGCATCGATTGAGTTGCGGCTTGGGTAGAGATTTCATTATTATTGTGCACCTGAAAAAAGATAAAGGTTGAATGAATCTTCAATTTTTAAAATAATTTTTTCAATAATTTCTTATATTTGAATCATTTAGACAGGAACATTTTACTTACTGGGAATATAGTAGTGCTCGGCCTCGTTTCTACCCACCAACTCAAGTCTTCGTCGTTTAATAGCTCTGTCATTCATAACAGCCTTCGTGGCCCTAGGGCACCATTCCAAAGCATGTAGCTCCATCATGACTGTAATTTCGTCATCAGAGCGAACATGCGGCATATCGACGAAATGGCCGCATTTTTGACAGAAGCCTGAAATAGATATATTACATTAATAGGTAAATCTTTTAAAAATTACTCATACTTAAGCAAGTAGCACTAAAGATTGAAAATAAACTTACCATTTTTTTGTGCACTTTGCTGGCGTGAATTCGCCATCCCTTCAAAGTTCCGAATTCTTCGGACAAATTCCACACTATGAAAATAAATTGTACTAGACTCGTTCAAATCATTCACATAAAGCTTTTCAATGCACTAATAAAATAAATTTAAATTTACCAATTGTGATTGACCCATCAGCATTTCGAATAACTACGTATGGGTCAATCGGTGGCCTCACCAGCAGTTGTTGGTACCACGCCGGTAAACCTTCCACTGCCGGCGCATGAAAGGATTCCGGCACTACTGGCTTTGCCTCACGTTGTGGAATCCGTATCGTCCGTGAACGCCTGAAATACATTTATTATAAGATATCAAAATTTCAGTGTTTTTTTAACTACTTCTGTAAGCTTAACTGCTCATCAAATGCAGTCATTTGCTAAACTTATTGCTTTGATTCAAAAACTCAGGCAGTTATGAAGAGTTAATTACTCTTATTGCTAGAAATGAAACCAGTGCTATCGCGAATGCTTTCGCTTCATTGCGTTCTGAATTTCCGCAGACCTTCCTAATCGTGCGGTACTTGCCTCTCCTCTGCCATCTCCTCCACCTCCTCACAGCTCTCATGAGCGTCTACCAGTGCCGCCGGCACTGGTTCTTCCTCTTGCTCTAAAGCTTGTTGTTGTTGTTCGAGAAGGTGGAGGGCGATCTGGTCCTCATTTTCTGCTTCCGCTCCAGATCGCACTGGATTCCCCGATTGATGGAACGTTTCTATCTGTTCCCGAGATGGCGGAGGACTTGGGCGGATTCTCAAGTCTGCCGTTGAAACTTCATTCGTTTCATTGTCCAACTTCTCCCTCAAATCCTCAATCTGAAAAATCATACCAATCAATTATTAATAGAGAGTTCAATGAATAATACCGTAAATAAATCCAAGACCAAAATTAAACATACCAGTTTGGCCGTATTTTGCAGGTATCCTTCCAATACCTGGTAAAGCGGCTCTTGCGCAGATGGTTCTTCAAATCTGCAAATGTTGGCAGATTTGGACCGTATGCTTCAGCATGCGCCATATTTGCTGAAAAACCATAGATATAGGCGGCAAATACAAGAGTATAGTTAAACGTAACTTCGACAATACAGCAATTTGCCCATTAATAAAGGTAAAATACAAAAGTAAAAAGTTAAATGATAAGAAAAGGAATAAGTCAAATAAAGTCAATCAATGAAGTTATCTTCCATTTTGCGCATAAAGTTGCTTCGGTGATGAGATCACATGCAGGTAATAATGGAGGCGGAATTGTCTTACTTAACGCACACTCTCACAGACTCTCTGATTTGTGCATGTATGTGATTATTAAGAAAAGAAAAAAAGTACGCAATGAATGCATTTTGCAACACTTGGCTGTATCAAATCGAATCTGAGCAGTTTAAAGGATGGTTATATGTTTATCTCATGGTCTAAATAATTAATTTAATTAATTAATAGGTTCACAATTACAATATTATTTTTCGAAGAAAAAATTGCTTTGTCCACTTTATCTATATATTGTTGCCTTCTGTGTATTGTATGTTTCTTTGTAGTTACTAATTTGCACATTCCTTTAGTCTATTATCGTTATAGGTATTATGGATTAATGCTGTGAGTATGTTTGTAGGTATAAGCATTGCGGGTATAAATGTTTGTAGGTATAAGCATTGGGTATAAATGTAAGCATTACTGGTATATCATGGGTAAAAATTATCCGTTAGACTTCTTCTATCAATTTACAGTCGCAAAATTTCTACAATCGTTGTATTGTATATGCAAGGTTTTTTATTCCTACGCTTCCTTTACGGAGTGAAAAGAGAAATGATAATTACGTGGGTACTACAAATTATGCGTACGTATAAATTCTTGAGCCTACTAAATTTGATCAAAAACTATTGCAGATAAACGTAAATTATTGATGACTTAACTATCACAACAACAAATTGAATTGCAATTGAACGCAACTTCCAACAATACAACAATTTGCACATCGATAGTAAAAGTAAAAAGCTAGAAGATTCGAATAAAAGAATAAGTCAAATAAAGCCAACCGATGAAGTTATCTTTCATTTCGCGCATAAAGTTGTTTCGGTGATGAGATCAATGCAGACAATAATGGAGGCGGAATTGTTTTACTTCGTGCTTATTCCATGGATGATTATTGTTTGAAAAATGCCTGCAAAAAAATAATAAAAAAAAAAAAATAAGTGCGAAGTGAAATGATCAATAAGTCATTTGGGAGAAGTGCTTTTCTCGATATGTTCTTTAGCACTTAAGTTAAAAATTAAAATTTTTGCTTTAAATAGCATTGAAATTTAAGCTAAGTCAGAGAGCAATGATTGATTATCTTTAAAATGCTTTGCATATTTTAAAAATGCTTTCGTTTCATTTTAAACAATTCTTCAATTGCAATTAAATGAGCACAGATGATTGCATGCTGAATTTGATAAGTAAGTTTCACTTGTAATGTGAAACTTCATCGGAATTAATAATAATTTTTCTCAAATAAGCTGTTAGGTTATCTTACTTACTTTCATCACTTATTAAGTTTATCGCAATCTTTTTTTATTAATAGCAATTTATTAAGTTATCAATAACTCGATCATTTCAGCAATGTAATTAAATAACCTTTTGATTTAAATTATTCATTAGTTATTATCAATTTTCCTACTCTACAATATTTATTTGTAAATTGAAATCATTAAAATAATTGATAAAAAAGAAAAAATGTTAAACTACATTAATCTGATATAAATGTTGTTAATATTAAAGGCCATCGATACTACCTACACATTTTCCTAGTAAATCTTAATTTAAACTATAAATGTAATCAATTAACTTTTTATAAATGATTTATTTCAATCATTCTTTTGTTTATAATTCGTTAAAAAAACATTTATCGCATTTAATATTCAAATTACACTCTCTAAAATACACATCAAAACAAAGACAAAGTTAATCTTTTACAAAAAAAAATATGAAAAAGTATTGCGAATAAATAAATAATATATGCATAACTTATTTTGAAAGAAAAAAATGATACTTTTGAGAAATTTATATGATAAAAACAAGATAAAAAGAGAAAACCAACTTTTTTTTTGCAACTAATTTTTTTGTGTCAAATTTACAGAAATCAATAAAGAAATGATCGTTTATTAATTACATATTTTATTTTTACTGAAATTACCGTATTAGCAAGGAAATAACTTTATCATAAATAATAAGAAACAACTGATAACGAATCATTTGCGTCAGTCATTTCATTTAAGTTCATCTATTCATCGTTAAAAATTTAGTTTTTTTTAGAGCAGAAAAAGTATTCTTTTCTTTTTGCATAATTTTTTGAAATTAAAAAGTTTTTGATTGAAAAAAATTTTCCTCTTTATTTTTGAAAATGATTAGTGATAATTCCTGAATTATTTTTAATTAGTACTCAATTTAATCAATTATTGATCAATTTTACAATAAAATTTCACACAATGACGGCATTTTCTCAAATTTTTTTTTTCTTAATATTTATAAATTGAATTACATTAAGATATGATCAATTGAATGAGCAATTCTGTTAATGGAACCTGAAATGAAAATGGCTTACAAATTATTTTTATTCATATGCTTTTATATTCATTTATTAGTAAATATAATATCGTACCTAAATGGCTTTAATGTGAAATTTATGAAATTTAAATTATATTATAGTTTTTGTTACAAACATCAAAAAGTATTACATAATAAAATATTCATTTCTTACTTTATTCCAAATTTAAAGTAATGTTATTGTTGCGCTGTTTTAATTGTTATTGTTATTGCTATTATTGTTTTTGCTATTGTAACTATCATTGGTTGTAGAGCTTTCCGCAATAAACATTTCTATTTTTTCATCAAGAAATATTCGATAATCATCTAATGCTGGTAAATTGATGAAATTGACAGGACATGTGTCAATGCAATGAGAACCACCTGAAAAGCTTCTAGTTAATATAGACAATAGTAAATTTTTAGCAATAATTTAGCTTAGAAAATAATTATTTTAACTTATTCAATCAATAAAATCGGTTATCACCCTAATTTAGAAAAATTTTCTTGAAATTTTAAAATAAGACTAGAAAATATTTTTAAAATGTTGCAAGGTATTTATATCGATGGGAATTTTTTTTTTTGTTTGCTCTAAGTTAATGAAACAATCGATTAATTAATTTAAAATTAAATAAATTTTACCTTCAATTATAAAAGAGTAAACATTTCTTGTAATATCAGTACAATTCAAACAACAAGCTGATTTCCATGGATCATATGAACCAGTTGCAAATATCGTATTGCTACCCTTGAAAACTTCTCATAAATATACAAGATAAAAACAAAATTCATGCTGTATGATTACTGTAGCCAAGGAATACAGTAACCTACTCTATAATTATCATAACCTCCAAATGTACGCAATGTATTGCGTACGCCATCACGAACACGTTCCGCATCATACTGCACATCGAATACGTCCATGCATTTATCGATAAAATAACTGCAATTTGAAACATGTTTAATTTATTTGAATATTAAATTTTTAAGAAATTTTATTTAAACTAGAAAGAAAAATAATTTTAAATATTTTTTAACTTAAAAATGAAGAAGTAGAAAGCTTCGTAAATAGATCAAAAAGAAATTGATGGATTTTTTTTTTTTTTAGTAATTAATCTTACTCAAGTGATACAGATGATCCAAATATGCTTTTTCCATTGTCTGTTGTAATGAAAAAGCCAAGTTCTGTACAGGAAAGCCATAGCCAACTACGATACGATACTAAAGTTGAAAATATAAAAATTTGATTTTTACAGAAATAAATTTAAGCAATGTATTAGGAAAAAATTTAATATGATCAACAAATCAGAAAGCAAAAATATTGTGTTAGCTGATGTTAAATAATTTAATAATAGCTATCAGCTTATCAATGATATCATTTTTATGTTGGTTTGAAAATTAAAATTAATTGATTATCATAGCAATCAAGCTCACAAAATAAGAAAAGAGATTAGTATTTCCGTGTAAATTTTAGATTTAACTTTCTGAAATCTGTCAAATCTTTTATTACATATTACTGCTTTCAATAGAAGAAAAATAATTAAAGGTGTCTAATTTTTCAAAAAAACAATACGAATTTCAATCAAACAAATAAAAGTAACCAAATTCATTATGCACCAAACTGATATCACTCAATTTTTCCAAATGGTTTGCATAGCTTTGATCAAAGCATTCTTCAGATTGAAATACTTGATCATGAATTTTCCAGGTATTCAAAATTATCCCAATACCATCTGTGTCACCACCATGCGTTATTAGATTACAAAAATAAGACACATCGGGAATTCGCTGCAATTTTATCAATTCTTTTTTTACTGAAATCTTTTGTAAATAAAATTTTGTAAACAATTTTTGAAAAAAAAAAAAAAAAAAACAAATAAAAAATTTACACATCCTCCTGCATACTGTATAAAAGCACCAAATAAAGACAAAACACTTGCAAGAAAAAGTTGTATATCTTTTGATATTGATGGCTCCGTAAATGGTACGCACATGCTGCAGAAGAAAAAAAAAAAATAAATTGAAAATTAAAATAATCTAAATAAATTGATAGCAAAAAAAAAAAATAACCGAGAAAGGGATCAAAGATTTGAAAAAATCAAAAGAAAAAGGAAAGAAAAGATTAGGGATTGAATTGAAAAATTTAATAAAAAAACTCACTTAAAAACCTTTCCTAATTCTGCCCTACCATCTGCGGTATATGTTTTTTCAATCAGTGCTTTCATACCCAATCGAATAGTTTCAGCGCACGGTGCATTCTCCTCCTTCAATACATATTCCAAATTTTTGGTATGATCTGAAATTTCCTTTTTTCAAAAAAAAAAAGTTCTATTTTATTTTTTAGCTAGATTAATATTTCTTTTCTTTTTTGCACCTTAACAAGACAAAATTAATCTCATCTAAACAATTAATATTTTATACTTTCTAAATTCTAAAACTTCAAAAAAAAAAAACAGGATTAGATCGTAAATTTTTTTTTTTTTTTTGAATCTATTTAATTTTACCATAATAATCGACTTCAGCTTGAACCACACCAGATGATACAATTGCTGCAATAGTAAGATCTTCGTTCATTTCACGAAACCATGCTGCAAGTGCACCTGAAATTCATATACAAAAATTAATTCAAAGAAAAAGTACTCAAATTTTTTGATCTGTTTAAAAATTTGATTAAAAACTTGATAAAAGTTAATACGAAACATATTTTATAATTTTACCATTTATTTCATTTCATATTGTTAAAAAACTGAAAAATAAAAACCAACTAACTTACCAGAATAGGAATCACCAAATAGTATCCAACGTGGTTTTTCTATTCCCGAGAAAAACACTTCGTTCATATGAACAATAAAATTTTTTATATCAGCTAATGCTTGATTTATTGTTAAGTATTTATAGCTTTTGATTGAGAGATCTCTGAAATTTCATATTTCAATTTTAGGATAATCTAAAATGTAATGAAAATTATTGCTCCTCCTTGCATATATTTTACTGTAAAAATTAATTACTGACATAGTAATTAGTAAATTTTATGAATTACTTACTCAAATGGTTGACTTGCTCCAAAAAAACGATGTTCTAAACAAAACATGCAGCGCCATATTTCTTAGCCAATATCAGCAATGGATTCATTGCATAACCAATCTTTGATCCAGTAATTCTATCCTCACCACCAAGATTTAAAAATGCCAAACCAGAATTATTGTAAAATTCCAAATTAGACATATAACGCTGTAATTATTTGAGCTTTAAAAAATATTACATTAAGATTTAAAATTGGAATAGAATAAATTTAAAATTATTGATAAAGCAATGAAAAAATTCATCATTTTAAATTATGATATTGATTAATTTGGAAGTTATTAAAGAAAATGATTTAATAATTTGCAAATATTCTAGATTATAATTTATATTTTTTTTTAAAAAAGTGAAAAAGAAACTTGTTTGAATTCTCGCTTATCATCCGGATTAAAATTATCAATTCGTTGTAATACCCAATCAGTTTTTATTTCCTGATAAATATTTTTAAATGCTTCTGATTGCATTTGCATGATATTATTTGCTATTGTTGAATTTTATTCATTGAATTATTCAATAAAATTGAATAATTTTGTGACATCGAAATATTATCCATTCCCATTTGATCAAAACAATCATATTCTATGGTCGGCAAATGATGCAACGATGATTTCCGAACTTTCGTACCAAATATGTTAGTATTGTTGCAAGATAATAGCAGAAGTAATAATGAAAAAATCTTTTGGTTATTTCATTTAAAATCATCATTTTCTCCTAAATTTAAATTATATTGCTAAATATGCCTGATAATTATCAGATATTATCATTATGATAAAATATTTCCTTCAGTTTGTGACATTCTTTGAAACAAATTGCGCTATTATAAGAGAATTGCAATAATTTCTAATTCATTTTGACTAGAAGAAATTAATTTAAAAATAGACTGAAAACCTGGAAATAATAAATAGTTTCTAAGCTACTTAATTGTTAAATTCGAAAAATATTGGTTTGATTTTTAACACGTTTTTTTCTTTTTACAAGTTTTGAGTAATTTTTTCCCTTGATTAAATCTTGGCATTGCTATTCACACAAATAATTTATAACTCCTCTAAAATTCCAAATACATTAGAAATGATGAAATGATATTTGAAGTTAAACAAAATAATAACTCATAAACATTAATTATAGCATAACAAAATTCAATGTATAAAGAATAAGCAAGTGAAAAAAAGTGATTAAAATAAAAATCATGCAAAACAAATCTAAAAATGCATGCAGTAAAAAAAGAAATGAATATAAGTAACTTAGGATGCAATTAACAAAAACAAAATTAATTCAGGAAAAGCGTGCATTAAATAGAAATAAAATCAAAAATATAGAAAATTTTATGAAAAACTGTTCATAAATAAAAATATAATATAATTTGCAGTCTGCAAATACTGTTCAATGTGCAAATGCATTAAATTCAATAAAACTAAAACTATCAATCTGCAAGAAATAAAAGAAAACTAAATTAAATCAGACCACCTAGTAGTTAAAAGCAAAAATTTCATCCAAATAATTTGGTGACCAAAAACTACTGTCAATCAACATGAAAGAAAAAATTTATGTGCATAATTACAACAGTGATTCTTGACCTCCACGCAAAAGTAGAAAGAATAATAATAATCACAAAAAGGATAATAATAAAAGCACTCTAAAAAAATTAGTTAAAGAAAAAAACTAATAAAATCCAGAAAGAATTATTAACGGCATAAGTGAAACATGACAATATGATAGTGATAAAAATATTTTATAAAAAACGATAAGTAACATAAACAAAAAAAAATGCAAGAATTAATAAAACAACAAGCCAAGCATTAATAATGCCATTAAATCCTTTTATTTTTATTTTTTATTTTATTTATTCTTTTTTTTTTAATTTTTTTTTTCGTTTTTTTTGATTTTTAATTTTTTGGTTTTTTTTATTTTTTGTTTTTATTTATTTTCTTTTCATTTTTTGTTTTTTCTTATATTTTCTATTTTTTATTTTTTTTTTACTTTTTCCTTTTTTTTTACTTTCGACATATTAATAAACAAATCAAACATGAAAAAGTAGAATTACATAATTAAAAATAAAAATCACAATGAAATAAAGAAATTTAAAGAGCCAAATTCGAATTTAATGCATCAAGGATCAAAAGCTATGTGCAAGAGAAGCGCAATTTTTTCGAAATTACAAATGGCTGAAAACTGAATTCGAAAAATCTCACTAAATAGAAGGACGACAATCAAATTTTTCATTGTGATTTTTCAATAGTTAATGAAAATCAGAAATTAGTAACAATTTAAAAATCTAATAAATTGGTAACCAAATAAGAACAAAAACTTAACATAATAACAGAAAACTAACAAAAAAAAAAAAAAAAAAAAAACGAAAAAAATAGATCAGTCCACCAGTAAGTAAATTAGGTTACCTGCGCAAGGAGAAGAAAATTGATTGAGCGGAGCGAACTTGGACAGAAATGGTTCTTGAATTGGTGCATCGATTGAGTTGCGGCTTGGGTAGAGATTTCATTATTATTAGGCACCTGAAAAAAGATAAAGGTTGAATGAATCTTCAATTTTTAAAATAATTTTTTCAATAATTTCTTATATTTGAATCATTTAGACAGGAACATTTTACTTACTGGGAATATAGTAGTGCTCGGCCTCTTCGTTTCTACCCACCAACTCAAGTCTTCGTCGTTTAATAGCTCTGTCATTCATAACAGCCTTCGTGGCCCTAGGGCACCATTCCAAAGCATGTAGCTCCATCATGACTGTAATTTCGTCATCAGAGCGAACATGCGGCATATCGACGAAATGGCCGCATTTTTGACAGAAGCCTGAAATAGATATATTACATTAATAGGTAAATCTTTCAAAATTACTCATACTTAAGCAGGTAGCACTAAAGATTGAAAATAAACTTACCATTTTTTTTTTGTGCACTTTGCTGGCGTGAATTCGCCATCCCTTCAAAGTTCCGAATTCCTTCGGACAAATTCCACACTATGAAAATAAATTCGTACTAGACTCGTTCAAATCATTCACATAAAGCTTTTCAATGCACTAATAAAATAAATTTAAATTTACCAATTGTGGTTGACCCATCAGCATTTCGAATAACTACGTATGGGTCAATCGGTGGCCTCACCAGCAGTTGTTGGTACCACGCCGGTAAACCTTCCACTGCCGGCGCATGAAAGGATTCCGGCACTACTGGCTTTGCCTCACGTTGTGGAATCCGTATCGTCCGTGAACGCCTGAAATACATTTATTATAAGATATCAAAATTTCAGTGTTTTTTTAACTACTTCTTGTAAGCTTAACTGCTCATCAAATGCAGTCATTTGCTAAACTTATTGCTTTGATTCAAAAACTCAGGCAGTTATGAAGAGTTAATTACTCTTATTGCTAGAAATGAAACTTACAGTGCTATTTCGCGAATGCTTTCCGCTTCACTGCGTTCTGGAATTTCCGCAGACCTTCCTAATCGTGCGGTACTTGCCTCTCCTCCGCCATCTCCTCCACCTCCTCACAGCTCTCATGAGCGTCTACCAGTGCCGGCCGGCACTGGTTCTTCCTCTTGCTCTAAAGCTTGTTGTTGTTGTTCGAGAAGGTGGAGGGCGATCTGGTCCTCATTTTCTGCTTCCCGCTCCAGATCGCACTGGATTCCCCCGGATTGATGGAACGTTTCTATCTGTTCCCGAGATGGCGGAGGACTTGGGCGGATTCTCAAGTCTGCCGTTGAAACTTCATTCGTTTCATTGTCCAACTTCTCCCTCAAATCCTCAATCTGAAAAATCATACCAATCAATTATTAATAGAGAGTTCAATGAATAATACCGTAAATAAATCCAAGACCAAAATTAAACATACCAGTTTGGCCGTATTTTGCAGGTATCCTTCCAATACCTGGAAGTAAAGCGGCTCCTTGCGCAGATGGTTCTTCAAATCTGCAAATGTTGGCAGATTTGGACCGTACGCTTCAGCATGCGCCATATTTGCTGAAAAACCATGGATATAGGCGGCAAATACAAGAGTATAGTTAAACGTAACTTCGACAATACAGCAATTTGCCCATTAATAAAGGTAAAATACAAAAGTAAAAAGTTAAATGATAAGAAAAGGAATAAGTCAAATAAAGTCAATCAATGAAGTTATCTTCCATTTTGCGCATAAAGTTGCTTCGGTGATGAGATCACATGCAGGTAATAATGAGGCGGAATTGTCTTACTTAGCGCACACTCTCACAGACTCTCTGATTTGTGCATGTATGTGATTATTAAGAAAAGAAAAAAAGTACGCGATGAATGCATTTTGCAACACTTGGCTGTATCAAATCGAATCTGAGCAGTTTAAAGGATGGTTATATGTTTATCTCATGGTCTAAATAATTAATTAATTAATAGGTTCACAATTACAATATTATTTTTCGAAGAAAAAATTGCTTTGTCCACTTTATCTATATATTGTTGCCTTCTCTGTGTATTGTATGTTTCTTTGTAGTTACTAATTTGCACATTCCTTTAGTCTATTATCGTTATAGGTATTATGGATTAATGCTGTGAGTATAAATGTTTGTAGGTATAAGCATTGCGGGTATAAATGTTTGTAGGTATAAGCATTGGGTATAAATGTAAGCATTACTGGTATATCATGGGTAAAAACTTATCCGTTAGACTTCTTCTATCAATTTACAGTCGCAAAATTTCTACAATCGTTGTATTGTATATGCAAGGTTTTTTATTCCTACGCTTCCTTTACGGAGTGAAAAGAGTCGATAATTACGTGGGTACTACAAATTATGCGTACGTATAAATTCTTGAGCCTACTAAATTTGATCAAAAACTATTGCAGATAAACGTAAATTATTGATGACTTAACTATCACAACAACAAATTGAATTGCAATTGAACGCAACTTCCAACAATACAACAATTTGCACATCGATAGTAAAAGTAAAAAGCTAGAAGATTCGAATAAAAAGAATAAGTCAAATAAAGTCAACCGATGAAGTTATCTTTCATTTCGCGCATAAAGTTGTTTCGGTGATGAGATCAATGCAGACAATAATGGAGGCGGAATTGTTTTACTTCGTGCTTATTCCATGGATGATTATTGTTTGAAAAATGCCTGCAAAAAAATAATAAAAAAAAAAATAAGTGCGAAGTGAAATGATCAATAAGTCATTTGGAAGAAGTGCTTTTCTCGATATGTTCTTTAGAACTTAAGTTAAAAATTAAAATTTTTACTTTAAATAGCATTGAAATTTAAGCTAAGTCAGAGAGCAATGATTGATTATCTTTAAAATGCTTTGCATATTTTAAAAATGCTTTCGTTTCATTTTAAACAATTCTTCAATTGCAATTAAATGAGCACAGATGATTGCATGCTGAATTTGATAAGTAATTTCACTTGTAATGTGAAACTTCATCGGAATTAATAATAATTTTTCTCAAATAAGCTGTTAGGTTATCTTACTTACTTTCATCACTTATTAAGTTTATCGCAATCTTTTTTATTAATAGCAATTTATTAAGTTATCAATAACTCGATCATTTCAGCAATGTAATTAAATAACCTTTTGATTTAAATTATTCATTAGTTATTATCAATTTTCCTACTCTACAATATTTATTTGTAAATTGAAATCATTAAAATAATTGATAAAAAAGAAAAAAATGTTAAACTACATTAATCTGATATAAATGTTGTTAATATTAAAGGCCATCGATACTACCTACACATTTTCCTAGTAAATCTTAATTTAAACTATAAATGTAATCAATTAACTTTTTATAAATGATTTATTTCAATCATTCTTTTGTTTATAATTCGTTAAAAAAAAAACATTTATCGCATTTAATATTCAAATTACACTCTCTAAAATACACATCAAAACAAAGACAAAGTTAATCTTTTACAAAAAAAAATATGAAAAAGTATTGCGAATAAATAAATAATATATGCATAACTTATTTTGAAAGAAAAAAATGATACTTTTGAGAAATTTATATGATAAAAACATGAAAGGAAGATAAAAAGAGAAAACCAACTTTTTTTTGCAACTAATTTTTTTGTGTCAAATTTACAGAAATCAATAAAGAAATGATCGTTTATTAATTACATATTTTATTTTTACTGAAATTACCGTATTAGCAAGGAAATAACTTTATCATAAATAATAAGAAACAACTGAATAACAACTGATAACGAATCATTTGCGTCAGTCATTTCATTTAAGTTCATCTATTCATCGTTAAAAATTTAGTTTTTTTTAGAGCAGAAAAAGTATTCTTTTCTTTTTGCATAATTTTTTGAAATTAAAAAGTTTTTGATTGAAAAAAATTTTCCTCTTTATTTTTGAAAATGATTAGTGATAATTCCTGAATTATTTTTAATTAGTACTCAATTTAATCAATTATTGATCAATTTTACAATAAAATTTCACACAATGACGGCATTTTCTCAAATTTTTTTTTTCTTAATATTTATAAATTGAATTACATTAAGATATGATCAATTGAATGAGCAATTCTGTTAATGGAACCTGAAATGAAAATGGCTTACAAATTATTTTTATTCATATGCTTTTATATTCATTTATTAGTAAATATAATATCGTACCTAAATGGCTTTAATGTGAAATTTATGAAATTTAAATTATATTATAGTTTTTGTTACAAACATCAAAAAGTATTACATAATAAAATATTCATTTCTTACTTTATTCCAAATTTAAAGTAATGTTATTGTTGCGCTGTTTTAATTGTTATTGTTATTGCTATTATTGTTTTTGCTATTGTAACTATCATTGGTTGTAGAGCTTTCCGCAATAAACATTTCTATTTTTTCATCAAGAAATATTCGATAATCATCTAATGCTGGTAAATTGATGAAATTGACAGGACATGTGTCAATGCAATGAGAACCACCTGAAAAGCTTCTAGTTAATATAGACAATAGTAAATTTTTAGCAATAATTTAGCTTAGAAAATAATTATTTTAACTTATTCAATCAATAAAATCGGTTATCACCCTAATTTAGAAAATTTTCTTGAAATTTTAAAATAAGACTAGAAAATATTTTTAAAATGTTGCAAGGTATTTATATCGATGGGAATTTTTTTTTTTGTTTGCTCTAAGTTAATGAAACAATCGATTAATTAATTTAAAATTAAATAAATTTTACCTTCAATTATAAAAGAGTAAACATTTCTTGTAATATCAGTACAATTCAAACAACAAGCTGATTTCCATGGATCATATGAACCAGTTGCAAATATCGTATTGCTACCCTTGAAAACTTCTCATAAATATACAAGATAAAAACAAAATTCATGCTGTATGATTACTGTAGCCAAGGAATACAGTAACCTACTCTATAATTATCATAACCTCCAAATGTACGCAATGTATTGCGTACGCCATCACGAACACGTTCCGCATCATACTGCACATCGAATACGTCCATGCATTTATCGATAAAATAACTGCAATTTGAAACATGTTTAATTTATTTGAATATTAAATTTTTAAGAAATTTTATTTAAACTAGAAAGAAAAATAATTTTAAATATTTTTTTAAAAAAAACTTAAAAATGAAGAAGTAGAAAGCTTCGTAAATAGATCAAAAAGAAATTGATGGATTTTTTTTTTTTTTAGTAATTAATCTTACTCAAGTGATACAGATGATCCAAATATGCTTTTTCCATTGTCTGTTGTAATGAAAAAGCCAAGTTCTGTACAGGAAAGCCATAGCCAACTACGATACGATACTAAAGTTGAAAATATAAAAATTTGATTTTTACAGAAATAAATTTAAGCAATGTATTAGGAAAAAAATTTAATATGATCAACAAATCAGAAAGCAAAAATATTGTGTTAGCTGATGTTAAATAATTTAATAATAGCTATCAGCTTATCAATGATATCATTTTTATGTTGGTTTGAAAAATTAAAATTAATTGATTATCATAGCAATCAAGCTCACAAAATAAGAAAAGAGATTAGTATTTCCGTGTAAATTTTAGATTTAACTTTCTGAAATCTGTCAAATCTTTTATTACATATTACTGCTTTCAATAGAAGAAAAAATAATTAAAGGTGTCTAATTTTTTCAAAAAAACAATACGAATTTCAATCAAACAAATAAAAGTAACCAAATTCATTATGCACCAAACTGATATCACTCAATTTTTCCAAATGGTTTGCATAGCTTTGATCAAAGCATTCTTCAGATTGAAATACTTGATCATGAATTTTCCAGGTATTCAAAATTATCCCAATACCATCTGTGTCACCACCATGCGTTATTAGATTACAAAAATAAGACACATCGGGAATTCGCTGCAATTTTATCAATTCTTTTTTCACTGAAATCTTTTGTAAATAAAATTTTGTAAACAATTTTTGAAAAAAAAAAAAAAAAAACAAATAAAAAAATTTACACATCCTCCTGCATACTGTATAAAAGCACCAAATAAAGACAAAACACTTGCAAGAAAAAGTTGTATATCTTTTGATATTGATGGCTCCGTAAATGGTACGCACATGCTGCAGAAGAAAAAAAAAATAAATTGAAAATTAAAATAATCTAAATAAATTGATAGCAAAAAAAAAATAACCGAGAAAGGATCGATCAAAGATTTGAAAAAATCAAAAAGAAAAAGGAAAGAAAAGATTAGGGATTGAATTGAAAAAATTTTAATAAAAAAACTCACTTAAAAACCTTTCCTAATTCTGCCCTACCATCTGCGGTATATGTTTTTTCAATCAGTGCTTTCATACCCAATCGAATAGTTTCAGCGCACGGTGCATTCTCCTCCTTCAATACATATTCCAAATTTTTGGTATGATCTGAAATTTCCTTTTTTTCAAAAAAAAGTTCTATTTTATTTTTTTAGCTAGATTAATATTTCTTTTCTTTTTGCACCTTAACAAGACAAAATTAATCTCATCTAAACAATTAATATTTTATACTTTCTAAATTCTAAAACTTCAAAAAAAAAAAAAACAGGATTAGATCGTAATTTTTTTTTTTTTGAATCTATTTAATTTTACCATAATAATCGACTTCAGCTTGAACCACACCAGATGATACAATTGCTGCAATAGTAAGATCTTCGTTCATTTCACGAAACCATGCTGCAAGTGCACCTGAAATTCATATACAAAAAATTAATTCAAAGAAAAAAGTACTCAAATTTTTTGATCTGTTTAAAAATTTGATTAAAAACTTGATAAAAGTTAATACGAAACATATTTTATAATTTTACCATTTATTTCATTTCATATTGTTAAAAAACTGAAAAATAAAACCAACTAACTTACCAGAATAGGAATCACCAAATAGTATCCAACGTGGTTTTTCTATTCCCGAGAAAAACACTTCGTTCATATGAACAATAAAATTTTTATATCAGCTAATGCTTGATTTATTGTTAAGTATTTATAGCTTTTGATTGAGAGATCTCTGAAATTTCATATTTCAATTTTAGGATAATCTAAAATGTAATGAAAATTATTGCTCCTCCTTGCATATATTTTACTGTAAAAATTAATTACTGACATAGTAATTAGTAAATTTTATGAATTACTTACTCAAATGGTTGACTTGCTCCAAAAAAACGATGTTCTAAACAAAAACATGCAGCGCCATATTTCTTAGCCAATATCAGCAATGGATTCATTGCATAACCAATCTTTGATCCAGTAATTCTATCCTCACCACCAAGATTTAAAAATGCCAAACCAGAATTATTGTAAAATTCCAAATTAGACATATAACGCTGTAATTATTTGAGCTTTAAAAATATTACATTAAGATTTAAAATTGGAATAGAATAAATTTAAAATTATTGATAAAGCAATGAAAAAATTCATCATTTTAAATTATGATATTGATTAATTTGGAAGTTATTAAAGAAAATGATTTAATAATTTGCAAATATTCTAGATTATAATTTATATTTTTTTTTTAAAAAAAAAAGTGAAAAAGAAACTTGTTTGAATTCTCGCTTATCATCCGGATTAAAATTATCAATTCGTTGTAATACCCAATCAGTTTTTATTTCCTGATAAATATTTTTAAATGCTTCTGATTGCATTTGCATGATATTATTTGCTATTGTTGAATTTTTATTCATTGAATTATTCAATAAAATTGAATAATTTTGTGACATCGAAATATTATCCATTCCCATTTGATCAAAACAATCATATTCTATGGTCGGCAAATGATGCAACGATGATTTCCGAACTTTCGTACCAAATATGTTAGTATTGTTGCAAGATAATAGCAGAAGTAATAATGAAAAAATCTTTTTGGTTATTTCATTTAAAATCATCATTTTCTCCTAAATTTAAATTATATTGCTAAATATGCCTGATAATTATCAGATATTATCATTATGATAAAATATTTCCTTCAGTTTGTGACATTCTTTGAAACAAATTGCGCTATTATAAGAGAATTGCAATAATTTCTAATTCATTTTGACTAGAAGAAATTAATTTAAAAATAGACTGAAAACCTGGAAATAATAAATAGTTTCTAAGCTACTTAATTGTTAAATTCGAAAAATATTGGTTTGATTTTTTAACACGTTTTTTTCTTTTTACAAGTTTTGAGTAATTTTTTTCCCTTGATTAAATCTTGGCATTGCTATTCACACAAATAATTTATAACTCCTCGCTAAAATTCCAAATACATTAGAAATGATGAAATGATATTTGAAGTTAAACAAAATAATAACTCATAAACATTAATTATAGCATAACAAAATTCAATGTATAAAGAATAAGCAAGTGAAAAAAAAGTGATTAAAATAAAAATCATGCAAAACAAATCTAAAAATGCATGCAGTAAAAAAAGAAATGAATATAAGTAACTTAGGATGCAATTAACAAAAACAAAATTAATTCAGGAAAAGCGTGCATTAAATAGAAATAAAATCAAAAAATATAGAAAATTTTATGAAAAACTGTTCATAAATAAAAATATAATATAATTTGCAGTCTGCAAATACTGTTCAATGTGCAAATGCATTAAATTCAATAAAACTAAAACTATCAATCTGCAAGAAATAAAAAGAAAACTAAATTAAATCAGACCACCTAGTAGTTAAAAGCAAAAATTTCATCCAAATAATTTGGTGACCAAAAACTACTGTCAATCAACATGAAAGAAAAAAATTTATGTGCATAATTACAACAGTGATTCTTGACCTCCACGCAAAAGTAGAAAGAATAATAATAATCACAAAAAGGATAATAATAAAAAGCACTCTAAAAAAATTAGTTAAAGAAAAAAACTAATAAAATCCAGAAAGAATTATTAACGGCATAAGTGAAACATGACAATATGATAGTGATAAAAAATATTTTATAAAACGATAAGTAACATAAACAAAAAAAAAATGCAAGAATTAATAAAACAACAAGCCAAGCATTAATAATGCCATTAAATCCTTTTATTTTTTATTTTTTAATTTTATTTATTCTTTTTTTTTTTTTAAATTTTTTTTTTCGTTTTTTTTTTTTTTTTTGATTTTTTAATTTTTTTGGTTTTTTTTATTTTTTGTTTTTATTTATTTTCTTTTTTCATTTTTTGTTTTTTTTTCTTTTATATTTTCTATTTTTTTATTTTTTTTTACTTTTTTACCTTTTTTTTTTTACTTTCGACATATTAATAAACAAATCAAACATGAAAAAGTAGAATTACATAATTAAAAATAAAAATCACAATGAAATAAAGAAATTTAAAGAGCCAAATTCGAATTTAATGCATCAAGGATCAAAAGTTATGTAAGAGAAGCGCAATTTTTTCGAAATTACAAATGGCTGAAAACTGAATTCGAAAATCTCACTAAATAGAAGGACGACAATCAAATTTTTCATTGTGATTTTTAGTTACCAAATAAGAACAAAAACTTAACATAAAATTTGATATTACATTGCTTTCTGAAAGCTTTGCAACGTGTAACTGTGTTATTGTCGAAAAAGTGTGGGTGTTAATTTCAAATGTTAAAATATCAATAAAATGTTTCTCAAAATTTTTTAACTTACAAGTCGACGAGACGAAATTTCGCATATTTAAGTTTTAATGCTTTTGAAATTTTCAGTTCGTAACATTTTCAACTAATTTGGACAACGAATTCGATAAAAATATGAATCAAATTCAGTTGATATCATTTCCAACTAATTTTCACAACGAATTTGAGAAAAATACGAATTGCAGTTAAATTTTCAATAAACCATAATAACATTTTGATGTTTTTCAGCATGTTCCATGAGGTAATACTTTCAGTCCATATATTTTCTTCACAATGTTATAAATAACTTGAATTTTAATTTAAATGGTAAGGAAATGATGAAGTAAAAAATTTTTAATCTTCAGGAGATAAATCGACGAAATCAAACATATTTCTGAAACAAAAATGAATTTGCTTGTTAATTTTAGCTTTTTCCGCTTTAAAATTATTGGTTACAATCTTTTTCAGTCATTTTCGATGGTATATTTGGTAAATTTAAGGTCTTTTAATGATTTTTAATTGAATTAGAAAAGAATTTTGTATTTGGCATTTTGCATGATAATCGATGTGATTTTCCAATTTTGGCAAAGATATTTATGCTCTCACCTGAACTGTATACCTGTTTTGAAGGATCAAATTGTATCTATATCAGTGAAATCGGGAAGTTCTCTCGAATATAACTACACTTTTTATCTAATCAACATTTTTCAAAAAGGAAAAATTAAAATTATTACTTATACAAATCAGGAAATGACTATTAACTTAAATTTACAGTTTACCAATGAAGAAGGTACTCAATGATGTGCTGAGATCCACTTCTAAAAAATACATTACAAACATTTCGACTCGACGTATTAACATAACGTTTTTACATAACGTCGAAAGGCACACCTGTACTGCACAATTGAGTGACTGAGGTTAATACAATCCTATTAATTAATATCAATTAGTGCTATTTCAAAGGTTTAATTTTGGAAAGAAGTTTTCTAAAAGTGATCTTTTTCCAATCAAAGTTTAAATGTGATACTTATCAAAATTAAAATTAATTGAATAAGAATGTAAAATAACTAACAGATGATCAAATGCATAATTAAAATGAATATTAACCATTGTTACACTGTGAATTTAGGAATAATTAGAGAAGATAATCAGTATAGGATTCTTTGGTTTTATCTCAATTTAAATTTCTATTTTTAACAAAAGAGATCCAAGAAAAAAATATTGATTTGTTTACACATACGAGAGAATACATAAACACTGATTGTCTCTGTATGTATCACTTAATTAATTCACTTTCATACTCAGATGACTTGGTGTCCTGGCTATATTTGAAAAACTGCGAACTTTCATAAGTCCTTGGCCAAATAATGTGACTGAGTCGGTGGATTGTGATGGCATTAATCCAACTTTTCCATTTAAAGATGACACCGAACGCGACATCACGGTAGTTGCTGAGGAGCGACGTGCTGTCAATGATATTAAAACTGAATTATTTTACAAAATCCAGCAAATTTGAGATTTTACGTCAAAAATAAACAAATGAACAAACCATTTGTGTTATCAGCACTTAAACCAGTTGGAGGTTTTCCAGCTGAAGTTGTTGAACTTCTGCGACCTGTTGAAAGAGAAGATTTGGTTGTCGTCTGAGTGCTACCTCTGCGACTTGTTAATTGTAAGGTCCTGCTGACTGAAGATGTCGCTGGTGATGCTGTTGTTGTTGTTGTTTTATGTTTTGTATCTACTGAAATTTCAAAGAAAAAAAAAATCGATATTTACCTTTAGTTAACAAATCAATAGCACAATTGAAGCTGCTGAACTTTACTTAACTTCTAGAACATATATATACTTACTCATAGCTTACTAACCAACTATTTAACCCGTAGCTTACCAATCAATCGATATTTAATCAATCAGTGGACAATAATAATAATAATAATAATAATAATAATAATAATAATAATAATAAAAACAGTAACACTTACAATATCTGTTGTTTTGTGTGGTAGCTAATGGAAGTCGTGATTTTCGTTCTTCCACAGTAGTCCTAAAGTTACGTGGCATTGGACTTGGACTACGCTGTGTGACAACAACTTGCGGTTGTGGTCGTACAATAGCCGTTTTGGAACGTTGTATATGTGTACGCCAAGGACCCTTATCTAAGTGACCATCGTTTTTGTCACTGAAAATGTTAAATTTTTAGCAGTGTACAATCAAATAAAAATAACTGGTATAGATATATAAACAAATCAGCAAATTAAAAAAGAAAGATAAATTCACAGAACGAATTTTTTGTTAAGCGATAAACAGTCCTTCGCCAATTATAGGCCAATATTCATGATTGTCTAAGCCAATATTTATATCTGATTAATAGCCATTATTCATATATTCAATTACAATAACATACTTAATTCTCTTTTCACTTCTCAGGCATTTCTCTGAAGCATTACTGTCTGTTCCTTCGACAGTTAATTCCTTCTGATTCCAAATCTCATTCTCCGCTTTTTGTTTCAATTCATCCGATTTATCATTCTTGTTTCGGGTTTCAGCTCGAGATAATTCACATGCATACTGGAAATCCAGTAGTTTGCATACAAATGTAAGCATTTTAGTTGGCTAAAGTTTCATAATGAGGATTAGTTTTAAAAAATTTTGAATATGAAAAAAATTACAATAATTAAAAGTCTGAAAACTGTTCTCTATAAATACATACCGTTTGAATTAATTGTCGCGTTGATGAATTTGCTCTTTGGAAAGCAAATCACGAATAATTCCTTCTACACGTAGCAATATTTCTCATCCTGGGGCAAATACAAATTTGCTTTATTTTTGAAAGCATATGACACAATTGCAATCTGCAAAGTATTTTGTAAAAGATCTTTAAAACTTTTGAAATTTTAAATTTAAAAATCTGAAAATAGGCAAAATATATTCTAAAATAATGCCTAACATTAAAGTCGACTAGAAGAATTTAAATCTTTAAAAACACATACTAGAGAGCTAGAGCCAATAAGGAATTCAAAATTGATTTTAACTTCAGAACTTCAGATTTATTTACCTATTCTTACTCTATCAAATATCATGTAATTTAATGACAAAATTGATAGCGCTGCTCAAGAAACAACAAGTGAATACTAAAATTTCTAATAATTTATATTTCGAAAGCCTCAAAATAATTTAAAAAGCAGCTAAAAACTTAAAATGAATGCATTATCAGTAAGCGAAAATTCAAATAATTTAACTAAAAAAAAAAAAAAAAAAAGAAAAAGGAAATAAACAATAACCTAATACTTGCCACTTTGTCGTTTGCCATCTCCAAAATTGGAGTCAAAAAGTGCGCGTGAAAAAATTTGCGGCTAAAATTGACGATAATTTCCGATCATCCAAAAATAATCGACGTCGATGACAATTTTGATGATTTGCGACTGCTGCAGTTTCTTTTAAATTTATTAACGAAATTGATCATATTTAAGACAAAATTGAATTTCCAAAAATTTTGCACACTTCGGTATTTTTTTTTATAAAATAGGATTTGAAAGAAAGTTTTTTTTTTTTTTTTCAAAAATTCAAATTAATGAATCGATTTACAGTGAATAAAAAATCAATGATAGATTGGCGATCAATTTCATTTGGATTTTCTCGCATGAATAAGAGAAGTGTAATCGAAGCAGCAACACGACATGGAATTGCACGCTAAAAATTATTAAAATTAAAAAATTATTTGAATTTCATTGATTGATTACCCGGAATACTTCAATCTCATAAACATACATATATATTCAAAGTAAAGTAAACGGAAAAAGTGTTATCCATTTTTTTGTTTATGAACTTTAACACACTGTTTAATTTCGAACTTATTTCCTATCAGAGTAAGTGTTTAACCCAACACTGATATTTGATACCATCATGAAAAGTTCAACCAAACTTAGACAGACTAGAATGCAGAAGAAAGCTTTTCTAAGTGAAAAGTTAATTTTAACAGAATTTATTTTAAAGTCATTAATTGCAGAAAAATCAATAATAACAAAATGGTAAATGATCAATAAGTCATTTGGGAGAAGTGCTTTTCTCGATATGTTCTTTAGCACTTAAGTTAAAAATTAAAATTTTTGCTTTAAATAGCATTGAAATTTAAGCTAAGTCAGAGAGCAATGATTGATTATCTTTAAAATGCTTTGCATATTTTAAAAATGCTTTCGTTTCATTTTAAACAATTCTTCAATTGCAATTAAATGAGCACAGATGATTGCATGCTGAATTTGATAAGTAAGTTTCACTTGTAATGTGAAACTTCATCGGAATTAATAATAATTTTTCTCAAATAAGCTGTTAGGTTATCTTACTTACTTTCATCACTTATTAAGTTTATCGCAATCTTTTTTATTAATAGCAATTTATTAAGTTATCAATAACTCGATCATTTCAGCAATGTAATTAAATAACCTTTTGATTTAAATTATTCATTAGTTATTATCAATTTTCCTACTCTACAATATTTATTTGTAAATTGAAATCATTAAAATAATTGATAAAAAAAAAAATGAAACATTAATCTGATATAAATTAATATTAAATCATCGATACCTACACATTTTCCTAGTAAATCTTAATTTAAACTATAAATGTAATCAATTAACTTTTTATAAATGATTTATTTCAATCATTCTTTTGTTTATAATTCGTTAAAAAAACATTTATCGCATTTAATATTCAAATTACACTCTCTAAAATACACATCAAAACAAAGACAAAGTTAATCTTTTACAAAAAAATATGAAAAGTATTGCGAATAAATAAATAATATATGCATAACTTATTTTGAAAGAAAAAATGATACTTTTGAGAAATTTATATGATAAAAACATGAAAGGAAGATAAAAAGAGAAAACCAACTTTTTTTGCAACTAATTTTTTGTGTTAAATTTACAGAAATCAATAAAGAAATGATCGTTTATTAATTACACATTTTATTTTTACTGAAATTACCGTATTAGCAAGGAAATAACTTTATCATAAATAATAAGAAACAACTGAAACAACTGATAACGAATCATTTGCGTCAGTCATTTCATTTAAGTTCATCTATTCATCGTTAAAAATTTAGTTTTTTTAGAGCAGAAAAAGTATTCTTTCTTTTTGCATAATTTTTGAAATTAAAAAGTTTTTGATTGAAAAATTTTTCCTCTTTATTTTTGAAAATGATTAGTGATAATTCCTGAATTATTTTTAATTAGTACTCAATTTAATCAATTATTGATCAATTTTACAATAAAATTTCACACAATGACGGCATTTTCTCAAATTTTTTTCTTAATATTTATAAATTGAATTACATTAAGATATGATCAATGAATGAGCAATTCTGTTAATGGAACCTGAAATGAAAATGGCTTACAAATTATTTTTATTCATATGCTTTTATATTCATTTATTAGTAAATATAATATCGTACCTAAATGGCTTTAATGTGAAATTTATGAAATTTAAATTATATTATAGTTTTTGTTACAAACATCAAAAAGTATTACATAATAAAATATTCATTTCTTACTTTATTCCAAATTTAAAGTAATGTTATTGTTGCGCTGTTTTAATTTTTATTGTTATTGCTATTATTGTTTTTGCTATTGTAACTATCATTGGTTGTAGAGCTTTCCGCAATAAACATTTCTAATTTTTCATCAAGAAATATTCGATAATCATCTAATGCTGGTAAATTGATGAAATTGACAGGACATGTGTCAATGCAATGAGAACCACCTGAAAAGCTTCTAGTTAATATAGACAATAGTAAATTTTTAGCAATAATTTAGCTTAGAAAATAATTATTTTAACTTATTCAATCAATAAAATCGGTTATCACCCTAATTTAGAAAAATTTTCTTGAAATTTTAAAATAAGACTAGAAAATATTTTTAAAATGTTGCAAGGTATTTATATCGATGGGAATTTTTTTTTGTTTGCTCTAAGTTAATGAAACAATCGATTAATTAATTTAAAATTAAATAAATTTTACCTTCAATTATAAAAGAGTAAACATTTCTTGTAATATCAGTACAATTCAAACAACAAGCTGATTTCCATGGATCATATGAACCAGTTGCAAATATCGTATTGCTACCCTTGAAAACTTCTCATAAATATACAAGATAAAAACAAAATTCATGCTGTATGATTACTGTAGCCAAGGAATACAGTAACCTACTCTATAATTATCATAACCTCCAAATGTACGCAATGTATTGCGTACGCCATCACGAACACGTTCCGCATCATACTGCACATCGAATACGTCCATGCATTTATCGATAAAATAACTGCAATTTGAAACATGTTTAATTTATTTGAATATTAAATTATTAAAAATTTTTTTAAACTAAAAGAAAAATAATTTTAATATTTTTTAAAAATGAAAAATTTAAAAGTTTGAAAGATATATTATAATTATGAAGAGAAAGATCGTAATAGATCAAAAAGAAATTGATTTTTTTTTTTTAGTAATTAATCTTACTCAAGTGATACAGATGATCCAAATATGCTTTTTCCATTGTCTGTTGTAATGAAAAAGCCAAGTTCTGTACAGGAAAGCCATAGCCAACTACGATACGATACTAAAGTTGAAAATATAAAAAGTTGATTTTTACAGAAATAAATTTAAGCAATGTATTAGGAAAAAATTTAATATGATCAACAAATCAGAAAGCAAAAATATTGTGTTAGCTGATGTTAAATAATTTAATAATAGCTATCAGCTTATCAATGATATCATTTTTATGTTGGTTTGAAAAATTAAAATTAATTGATTATCATAACAATCAAGCTCACAAAATAAGATAAAAAATTAATATTTCCGTGTAAATATAGATTTAACAAAAGATTTTTTCTTTCTGAAATTTGTCAAATCTTTTATTACTATTACTGCTTTCAATAAAGAAAAAAATAATTAAAGGTGTCTAATTTTTTTCAAAAAAAACAATAAGAATTTCAATCAAACAAATAAAAGTAACCAAATTCATTATCCACCAAACTGATATCACTCAATTTTTCCAAATGGTTTGCATAGCTTTGATCAAAGCATTCTTCAATTGAAATACTTGATCATGAATTTTCCAGGTATTCAAAATTATCCCAATACCATCTGTGTCACCACCATGCGTTATTAGATTACAAAAATAAGACACATCGGGAATTCGCTGCAATTTTATCAATTCTTTTTTTCACTGAAATCTTTTGTAAATAAAATTTTGTAAACAATTTTTGAAAAAAAAAAAAAAAAAATAAAAAAATTTACACATCCTCCTGCATACTGTATAAAAGCACCAAATAAAGACAAAACATTTGCAAGAAAAAGTTGTATATCTTTTGATATTGATGGCTCCGTAAATGGTACGCACATGCTGCAGAAGAAAAAAAAATAAATTGAAAATTAAAATAATCTAAATAAATTGATAGCAAAAAAAAAAATAACCGAGAAAGGATCGATCAAAGATTTGAAAAAATCAAAAAGAAAAAGGAAAGAAAAGATTAGGGATTGAATTGAAAAAAATTTAATAAAAAAAACTCACTTAAAAACCTTTCCTAATTCTGCCCTACCATCTGCGGTATATGTTTTTTCAATCAGTGCTTTCATACCCAATCGAATAGTTTCAGCGCACGGTGCATTCTCCTCCTTCAATACATATTCCAAATTTTTGGTATGATCTGAAATTTCCTTTTTTTTCCAAAAAAAAAAAGTTCTATTTTATTTTTTTAGCTAGATTAATATTTCTTTTCTTTTTGCACCTTAACAAGACAAATTAATCTCATCTAAACAATTAATATTTTATACTTTCTAAATTCTAAAACTTCAAAAAAAAAAAAAAAAAAAAAAACAGGATTAGATCGTAATTTTTTTTTTTTTTTGAATCTATTTAATTTTACCATAATAATCGACTTCAGCTTGAACCACACCAGATGATACAATTGCTGCAATAGTAAGATCTTCGTTCATTTCACGAAACCATGCTGCAAGTGCACCTGAAATTCATATACAAAAAATTAATTCAAAGAAAAAAGTACTCAAATTTTTTGATCTGTTTAAAAATTTGATTAAAAACTTGATAAAAGTTAATACGAAACATATTTTATAATTTTACCATTTATTTCATTTCATATTGTTAAAAAACTGAAAAATAAAAACCAACTAACTTACCAGAATAGGAATCACCAAATAGTATCCAACGTGGTTTTTCTATTCCCGAGAAAAACACTTCGTTCATATGAACAATAAAATTTTTATATCAGCTAATGCTTGATTTATTGTTAAGTATTTATAGCTTTTGATTGAGAGATCTCTGAAATTTCATATTTCAATTTTAGGATAATCTAAAATGTAATGAAAATTATTGCTCCTCCTTGCATATATGTTAGCTTTTACTGTAAAAATTAATTACTGACATAGTAATTAGTAAATTTTATGAATTACTTACTCAAATGGTTGACTTGCTCCAAAAAAACGATGTTCTAAACAAAAACATGCAGCGCCATATTTCTTAGCCAATATCAGCAATGGATTCATTGCATAACCAATCTTTGATCCAGTAATTCTATCCTCACCACCAAGATTTAAAAATGCCAAACCAGAATTATTGTAAAATTCCAAATTAGACATATAACGCTGTAATTATTTGAGCTTTAAAAAATATTACATTAAGATTTAAAATTGGAATAGAATAAATTTAAAATTATTGATAAAGCAATGAAAAAATTCATCATTTTAAATTATGATATTGATTAATTTGGAAGTTATTAAAGAAAATGATTTAATAATTTGCAAATATTCTAGATTATAATTTATATTTTTTTTTTTAAAAAAAAAAGTGAAAAAAGAAACTTGTTTGAATTCTCGCTTATCATCCGGATTAAAATTATCAATTCGTTGTAATACCCAATCAGTTTTTATTTCCTGATAAATATTTTTAAATGCTTCTGATTGCATTTGCATGATATTATTTGCTATTGTTGAATTTTTATTCATTGAATTATTCAATAAAATTGAATAATTTTGTGACATCGAAATATTATCCATTCCCATTTGATCAAAACAATCATATTCTATGGTCGGCAAATGATGCAACGATGATTTCCGAACTTTCGTACCAAATATGTTAGTATTGTTGCAAGATAATAGCAGAAGTAATAATGAAAAAATCTTTTTGGTTATTTCATTTAAAATCATCATTTTCTCCTAAATTTAAATTATATTGCTAAATATGCCTGATAATTATCAGATATTATCATTATGATAAAATATTTCCTTCAGTTTGTGACATTCTTTGAAACAAATTGCGCTATTATAAGAGAATTGCAATAATTTCTAATTCATTTTGACTAGAAGAAATTAATTTAAAAATAGACTGAAAACCTGGAAATAATAAATAGTTTCTAAGCTACTTAATTGTTAAATTCGAAAAATATTGGTTTGATTTTTTAACACGTTTTTTTCTTTTTACAAGTTTTGAGTAATTTTTTTCCCTTGATTAAATCTTGGCATTGCTATTCACACAAATAATTTATAACTCCTTGCTAAAATTCCAAATACATTAGAAATGATGAAATGATATTTGAAGTTAAACAAAATAATAACTCATAAACATTAATTATAGCATAACAAAATTCAATGTATAAAGAATAAGCAAGTGAAAAAAAAAGTGATTAAAATAAAAATCATGCAAAACAAATCTAAAAATGCATGCAGTAAAAAAAGAAATGAATATAAGTAACTTAGGATGCAATTAGCAAAAACAAAATTAATTCAGGAAAAGCGTGCATTAAATAGAAATAAAATCAAAAGAATATAGAAAATTTTATGAAAAACTGTTCATAAATAAAAATATAATATAATTTGCAGTCTGCAAATACTGTTCAATGTGCAAATGCATTAAATTCAATAAAACTAAAACTATCAATCTGCAAGAAATAAAAAGAAAACTAAATTAAATCAGACCACCTAGTAGTTAAAAGCAAAAATTTCATCCAAATAATTTGGTGACCAAAAACTACTGTCAATCAACATGAAAGAAAAAAATTTATGTGCATAATTACAACAGTGATTCTTGACCTCCACGCAAAAGTAGAAAGAATAATAATAATCACAAAAAAGGATAATAATAAAAAAGCACTCTAAAAAAAATTAGTTAAAGAAAAAAAACTAATAAAATCCAGAAAGAATTATTAACGGCATAAGTGAAACATGACAATATGATAGTGATAAAAAATATTTTATAAAAAACGATAAGTAACATAAACAAAAAAAAAAAAATGCAAGAATTAATAAAACAACAAGCCAAGCATTAATAATGCCATTAAATCCTTTTATTTTTATTTTTTAATTTTATTTATTCTTATTTTTTTTTTAAATTTTTTTTTCGTTTTTTTTTTTGATTTTTTTCTTTTTTTGGTTTTTTTTTTGTTTTTTTACTTTCTTTTTTCATTTTTTGTTTTATTTTTGTTTGTATTTTATAATTTTTATTTTTTTCTACTTTTTTACTTTTTTTTTACTTTCGACATATTAATAAACAAATCAAACATGGAAAAAGTAGAATTACATAATTAAAAATAAAAATCACAATGAAATAAAGAAATTTAAAGAGCCAAATTCGAATTTAATGCATCAAGGATCAAAAGCTATGTGCAAGAGAAGCGCAATTTTTTCGAAATTACAAATGGCTGAAAACTGAATTCGAAAAAATCTCACTAAATAGAAGGACGACAATCAAATTTTTCATTGTGATTTTTAGTTACCAAATAAGAACAAAAACTTAACATAAAATTTGATATTACATTGCTTTCTGAAAGCTTTGCAACGTGTAACTGTAAGTTATTGTCGAAAAAGTGTGGGTGTTAATTTCAAATGTTAAAATATCAATAAAATGTTTCTCAAAATTTTTTAACTTTAAGCAAGTCGACGAGACGAAATTTCGCATATTTAAGTTCTAATGCTTTTGAAATTTTCAGTTCGTAACATTTTCAACTAATTTGGACAACGAATTCGATAAAAATATGAATCAAAATTCAGTTGATATCATTTCCAACTAATTTTCACAACGAATTTGAGAAAAATACGAATTGCAGTTAAATTTTCAATAAACCATAATAACATTTTGATGTTTTTCAGCATGTTCCATGAGGTAATACTTTCAGTCCATATATTTTCTTCACAATGTTATAAATAACTTGAATTTTTAATTTTAAATGGTAAGGAAATGATGAAGTAAAAAATTTTTTAATCTTCAGGAGATAAATCGACGAAATCAAACATATTTCTGAAACAAAAATGAATTTGCTTGTTAATTTTAGCTTTTTCCGCTTTAAAATTATTGGTTACAATCTTTTTCAGTCATTTTCGATGGTATATTTGGTAAATTTAAGGTCTTTTAATGATTTTTAATTGAATTAGAAAAGAATTTTGTATTTGGCATTTTGCATGATAATCGATGTGATTTTCCAATTTCTGGCAAAGATATTTATGCTCTCTACCTGAACTGTATACCTGTTTTGGAAGGATCAAAATTGTATCTATATCAGTGAAATCGGGAAGTTCTCTCGAATATAACTACACTTTTTATCTAATCAACATTTTTCAAAAAGGAAAAATTAAAATTATTACTTATACAAATCAGGAAATGACTATTAACTTAAATTTACAGTTTACCAATGAAGAAGGTACTCAATGATGTGCTGAGATCCACTTCTAAAAAAAATACATTACAAACATTTCGACTCGACGTATTAACATAACGTTTTTACATAACGTCGAAAGGCACACCTGTACTGCACAATTGAGTGACTGAGGTTAATACAATCCTATTAATTAATATCAATTAGTGCTATTTCACAAAGGTTTAATTTTGGAAAGAAGTTATTTTCTAAAAGTGATCTTTTTCCAATCAAAGTTTAAATGTGATACTTATCAAAATTAAAATTAATTGAATAAGAATGTAAAATAACTAACAGATGATCAAATGCATAATTAAAATGAATATTAACCATTGTTACACTGTGAATTTAGGAATAATTAGAGAAGATAATCAGTATAGGATTCTTTGGTTTTATCTCAATTTAAATTTCTATTTTTAACAAAAGAGATCCAAGAAAAAAATATTGATTTGTTTACACATACGAGAGAATACATAAACACTGATTGTCTCTGTATGTATCACTCAATTAATACTTTTCACTTTCATACTCAGATGACTTGGTGTCCTGGCTATATTTGAAAAACTGCGAACTTTCATAAGTCCTTGGCCAAATAATGTGACTGAGTCGGTGGATTGTGATGGCATTAATCCAACTTTTCCATTTAAAGATGACACCGAACGCGACATCACGGTAGTTGCTGAGGAGCGACGTGCTGTCAATGATATTAAAACTGAATTATTTTACAAAATCCAAAGCAAATTTGAGATTTTACGTCAAAAAATAAACAAATGAACAAACCATTTGTGTTATCAGCACTTAAACCAGTTGGAGGTTTTCCAGCTGAAGTTGTTGAACTTCTGCGACCTGTTGAAAGAGAAGATTTGGTTGTCGTCTGAGTGCTACCTCTGCGACTTGTTAATGGTAAGGTCCTGCTGACTGAAGATGTCGCTGGTGATGCTGTTGTTGTTGTTGTTTTATGTTTTGTATCTACTGAAATTTCAAAGAAAAAAAAAATCGATATTTACCTTTAGTTAACAAATCAATAGCACAATTGAAGCTGCTGAACTTTACTTAACTTCTAGAACATATATATACTTACTCATAGCTTACTAACCAACTATTTAACCCGTAGCTTACCAATCAATCGATATTTAATCAATCAGTGGACAATAATAATAATAATAATAATAAAAACAGTAACACTTACAATATCTGTTGTTTTGTGTGGTAGCTAATGGAAGTCGTGATTTTCGTTCTTCCACAGTAGTCCTAAAGTTACGTGGCATTGGACTTGGACTACGCTGTGTGACAACAACTTGCGGTTGTGGTCGTACAATAGCCGTTTTGGAACGTTGTATATGTGTACGCCAAGGACCCTTATCTAAGTGACCATCGTTTTTGTCACTGAAAATGTTAAATTTTTAGCAGTGTACAATCAAATAAAAATAACTGGTATAGATATATAAACAAATCAGCAAATTAAAAAAGAAAGATAAATTCACAGAACGAATTTTTTTGTTAAGCGATAAACAGTCCTTCAAGCCAATTATTTAGGCCAATATTCATGATTGTCTAAGCC